CTGAACTATTTGGAGTTCATTTATAATGTTAGGGTTTGCGTGGGCAAAGACGGGGCCCGCGTAGGACATGACTGGTCGTATACAGACCTTGTAAAGGGTACGCTTGTTTCGAAGGGACATTTTACTGTGTCGGCCCAACATACTGTTGAGCCTACTCAGATAAAACCGTGCGTGACGGGTTACTCTTTTGACGTGGGGCCTGAAAGTAAGCCCTGTGTCTAGAGTGACACCTAAGTATTTGGCGGACGTATTCCAGGGGACAGGGGTCCCTAGCATACGTATTGGTGGAGTGTTTTTGAGACGGCGTCGTTTATAATCGAAGTGAACGGCGGAGCTCTTCTCCGGGTTCACATCGATGCGCCATTTTTTTGTACCAAGCTCCTAGGTCATCAACTGACTTTTGGATCTTGTTCCGTATGAAGGGCAGTGAGACGCCTTTGCAGTATATAGCAGTGTCGTCTGCGAAGAGGGAGAGCTGAACACCTTTCGACGGGATGGGAATGTCGTTGGTGAACAGGATGTACAGCAGAGGAGCAAGTACTGAGGCCTGTGGGACACCAGCCTTGATAGTTCGTTGTGAGGATAGCGTGCCTTCGTGTCTAAAACGAAATGTACGATCCTCTAGTTAAGAGGCCACGAGACGTACTAGGCGATCGGGGAGACCTATTTTGTATAGTTTGTAGATAAGGCCTGTATGCCAGACCCTATCGAAAGCTTTGGCTATGTCGAAAAAGACCGCGATGGTCTTATGACGACGAGGATAGAAACCGCTGAGGATATATTCCACAATGCGGTGAACTTGTTGGGGACATGAGTGTTTGGCTCGGAAACCGAATTTATGTGGAATGATAAGAGGGTCGCCGTCTGTGGGAAACAGATAGCGCCTCATACGCGTTTGGATGACTCTTTCGAAGAGCTTGCCCATTGCCTTGAGGAGGCTAATGGGGCGATGGCTGGAGGGGGAGGTTGAGAGGCTTGCCTGGCTTGGAATTCCAATCACAGTTGCCTCTTTCCACGTAGTGGGGAAATAACTGAGGTTGAAGCAGGCGTTGAAGATAATAGATAAAAAGGTTAACACCTGCTCAGGAAAGTGTTTTAAAGCTTGGTTGGAGATGCCATCCGCGCCCGGAGCCGTTTTCAGCTTAAGTCCTTTGATGAGGGATGAAATCTCATCATTGGACACAGAGATACGTTCGGAGGCCGTAGGGGGTGAGTTCCGGCGGCGGACCTCATCCTCCACTGCCTGGACATGAGAGGGGTCGACGGGTTGAGAACTAGGAGAGCATTGAGCGGCAAAGCTATCTGCAAAGCACTCAGCCTTTTCCTGGTCCTCGAAGGCAACCGTGCCGTCGGGACGGGAGAGAGGGGGAGTGTGGGTGATAGCGTCTATGCGGAGGGCTCTAGCCATCTGATAGTACGCTGTGTGAGATGGAGAGATATTCTCCATGAGCTTACTCTTTTCGAGGTCTCGAAATTCAGAGAGGCGGAAACGGAGTTCTCGTTGAAGACGATTGGCCGCGCGCCTATATTCGGGGGTGGGATATTTTGCTGCTCTCCGGAAAGCAGCTTTTTTGGCTTTTAATAGGTTGCTAATATGTAGGGGAAGCCCACTATTGTTAGCAACCGGGACGACCCTTTCGTTCTCCTTAAGGGAGGCTTTAATAAGGGTGGAGAGTGAATCGACCGCGGTGTCGATTTTTTCAGGACTATCTAAGTCCGACGGTAGGGAGATGGTAGAGTCCTGTGAGTCCAGAGCTTTAGCTAGGGACTCCTTGTATCCCTTCCAGTTAGTAAAGGTTTTCGTGTGTGTTGGGGGAGGTGGCTGATGGCCAAAAATGAGGGAGACCTGTCGGTGATCTGATCCTAGATCGTCTAGTGTCTCGATTGCTCTGAGATTGAGAGAAACTCCTTGGAGTAACGCAAAATCTAACACATCGGGGGCGTGATCGGTGTTATCGGGAAAGTGAGTAACACCGAGAGGACTATGGACGGTAATATCAAGAGACTGCGTGATATCGAGCAGTATCTTGCCACTAGGGGACGTAGTGCGGCATGTCCATTCAGTATGTTCGGAGTTAAAATCTCCAAACATAATGACTGAATTGCCTAAAGATAAAATGGCCTCAAAATCTTTTTTGAGGGGATAGGTTCCTGAAGGGATGTAACAGGAGGCTATGAGGATGGACTGATGTCCAGTCATAGCTAGCCTGCATACCGTGGCTTCCATGTTGGTAAGCTGCGGAGTAGAAATGGGCGAGCAATGAAGTGTCTTCTTGTAATAGATGGCCGTTCCGCCGCCTCGGCGGTCGGGTCTGTCGTTACGAAGAAGAGAGAAGTTTTTAATAGAAAGGCCTCTAGTGTCCTTAGCTTTGACATTAGTTTCCTGTAGGAGGATGAAATCGACTTCACGATTCCGAAGAAAGAGCTTAAGCTCTGGGATACAAGCGATAACCCCTTAGGTTTTATACGACCGTGGGATTTTGGTAGATTAATTTGCTCAGTCATTGGAGTTAAGTTAATAAGTTAACTTAACTTACAACGCTAACAGAAGGTTATTGTGTTCTGCAAGAACGAGAAGGCGTTCTTGGGGGGACTTCGCCGCGCGCAGTTTGCGTGCTACTACGGTTATTTCCCTAACATCGATATTCCTAATAGCGGAATATAGCGTGTTGTAGTCGTCGGGTGTGGGCTCTGCTTCATGTGCGTACGAGGTTGTCCGCGGTGGGTCTGCCTTTTTGGGCCCCCAGGGAAAGACTGGAGGCTGCATTGGCTTGGAGAAGCCCGGAGAGGGCCGAATTATGCCCTGAGGGGGGCCTAGGGCGAGAGAAGCCCTGGAGGGCTGAGAAAGGCCCTGACGGGGCCGTTGTTGGAGGGCCGGGAATGAGCGGTCATTCAACGGCGGTGGAGCTTGCCTACTGGGGCGAGGTTGAGGTGCGCGTGGGCAACCCCTGTAGTTAGCCGGGTGTCCTGTCTGGTTGCACAGGACACAGGCGGGCGGGGATTCGGCGTCTTTGGGCCGGGGACACTCTTTCGTGTTATGTGGTTCGAGGCACTTAACGCACCTGGGTGGGGTGGAGCAGTTGGCCGCCGCGTGACCATAAAGTTGGCAGCGGTGGCACTGCGCCGGGAAACCGGGCCTATGTTGGTATGGGCTCTACCTTCACCCTGGACAGGCCACACACTGTGCGTACCTGCCGGAAGATGACTTTAGCCTCCGGCACGTTCGATAGGATTACTAGGGCAAGGTTGTATCTCTTGCCCGTTCTGTTGTGCATTTTGTGCACTGCTTCTACGGGGAAACCTTGGGACTTAAGGTCCTCAAGGATTTCCTCGTTAGAGAACTCAAATGGGACGCCTCGGATGACGGCCCTGACTTTACGCTCTTCAGGGAGAGCGTACGTGTGGTAGGAGATTCGTTCGGCTGTGAATAGCCGGGTGATCTGACGGAAGTCCTCGATCGAGCTTGGGATGATTTTGATCGCCTCCCCGAGGTTGAAGGACATGATCATACTTGATACCTGCGTCGTAGCAGGTTTTGGATAACTGGGTGAATTTTGCCTTGTCTCTTAGGAAGACAGGGGGCGGGACTTGCTTCTTAGCAAGGACTGGAGCACAACGAGAGGCTGGTTTGGTCAGTGTGGGGATGTCTAGTGACATCAGTGGGACGGCGGCAGCGTCGAGGCTGCGGGCTGGCGATGGCGGCGAGGACCGTCTCATTGCCATTTAAACCGAATTGGTTAATGAGGGCGGCGAGAGACTCAGTGAAACTGGATGTGGCCATTTTGGGTCAGTAAGCTAAGCTAGGTAAGGGTGAGGACGGGTCCCTGTTCTCGGTAGAACAGGGACTAGATCGCGAGACGTACTACGACACACTATACACGTAATAATAATGCAAGAATAACAAGAAAAACAAGAAAATAAAGGAGACAGTAAATAAAAATAAAAAAAAAATTGAAAAATGATAAATGAAAATGATGATGAAAATGATAATGAAAATGAAGTGGAAATTAAATGAAAAGTGAAAATGAAAAGCGGAAGTCAGTCAGACCTCCCTGCCCGAAGACAGGGGGGCAAGAACTGTAGCGTGAAAGTGACTCACCGGCAGCCTCGACGCTGTTCCGCGTGAGCAGGACAGCGGAGGCGCGTGAGAGCGAGACAGCACTACCGTACTGTACGGGGGCGCGGACCACCAGGAGGCGACCGTCCGAGAACGATGCTGCCGGCGGACTGAGCACTGCGTCGGCGCTGTACAGCGCTAGCGGGACAGCGGGGGCGCGAGAGCGGGAGAGCACTACCGTACAGGAACGAAAGCGCAGACTACCTGGATGCTACCGCTCGGAAGCGATGCCACAGGCGTAATGTGACCCCCCCCCCCCCGATCGCGTATTGCAGCGCCTTTATATAGGGCTCTTCCACGAAAACATCTAGAATATTCCAGAATATTCCAGTAAATACGCGCGCCAACCGACCAAGCACAGAAAATTCGAGTGTGCGGCTTCCAGAAAGCTTAATTCTTCTGTTCGATAGTAGATGGCGCTGTTGGTTGAAAGACTAGTCATGTATTTTCTGGAAAGCTCTCGTCGCTGTTACCCGACACCAGATGGCGCTAGTGACAGATGTCAACTTAGCCGCGCAACAATATTATTGAAGGTAGATTGGATTGATTTGTTGATGAATGGTACGAAGGGTGGGTAAGATTTTTATTACCTAATTCCTGCTTATACATAAAAAAAATTGTGTAGAATGCCTAATGATTGGCTATCTTACGCCAATGCTCGAGACTAACAGTTTGATAGAAACATAATCGGGGTCACCAATAAGCCTCTTGACATGTCCTTCAACTATAAATCTGCTAATGAGTGTTTAACATTGGCATTATATGGCAGCAGTACCCCACAGCAAACCGAACTTTAGCTTTATACAATGTTAGAAGATACCCCAGAATGTTGTACTACCTTTTGTAAGTAACTTTATTTATAGTTAGTATAAGAAAAAGTAAGTTAGAGTACCTGCACGTCTAAAGGAGCAGTATAAGTTTTTATTATTGGAGCCTGTAAATTTTTAGAAAGTTCAGCTCTCCTTTGCTGCTCCCAAACCGCGTCGTGTAACAAGGCATGTGATATCTGAAAATGATCCGTCGAACGCGCCATGCAACGTATTTCTCGTAGTGCATCTAGCGCTATGTTGAGCCTAACTCGGCTTAAAAACTCATATAAGGAACATTCACTCGCGTATTCCTAAAATATAAAACGTTAGAAAATGTAATTGACTAATTTATCACGTGGTCGGCGGTGAAGGAAAATATCGCTAGAAAACCTACATGTCTGAGAAATTCATTAAAATTTAAAGTACAATCTATACCAGATTAATAAAGAAAATTAAAAGAATTGCTGTTTGTATATAAATCAATTCGAGTTCTATTTTGCCATTTAGATTTATTTAGAATAAGGTGTTTATTTTATCAAAATGCATGCAATCATTTGACCCTGATTGCACCTCCAAATGATGTCATAAATTGTAGTGAGGTCATCTAGTGATATAAAAACTGTAATGTCTTGATGCCAAATTGTCACTTGTCAAATGTTAACGGCTTTGTCTTGTTTATAAAAGGTACTAAAATTAAAAAAAATTTACAAACTACTTCAATATAAATAAAATGAGAACATCATCATTGTAGTCGAAGTCAATTAAATACGCATTATTAAAAATAACTCGAAAACTCCTGGTCTAATCTTGACCAAATTTATATCGAACCAGATGAAAAGCATCAGCTTTCAAATATAATAGAATCATCAAAATCGTCTCATCTAGAAAAAAAGTTCTCAGTTTAATACACATAAAAAAACATACACTCGAATTGAGTACCTCCTCAAAAAACTAAACAATTCGGCATTTTCGTAGCACGTTGACTCAACCGTGCAACTAGATTTATAAATCTAATAACTGGTGCGGCTGCAACTGGTTTTATTGTACGCAAATAATGACAAACATAAGGACCGCATCAAAGAATATATACACTACGCGAACCGCGTGGGGTTATACTTTGATAGAGGGGACGCCTTCCTATGGCTACTCCGCTCCGGTCCGCCGGTGGTCCGTGTTGCTCTATAACTACGAGGGAATAACTTCCTAGTTTGAATTTATTTTTATTAGCAACCAATTATTGCAAAGTAACTACGCCAATTTACAAACCAAACAACAGTTTTTTACGCTACGGTAGAGAGACCGTTTATCCCTTTCCCTTTTTAACCGACTTCAAAAAGAAGAGGAGGTACTCAATTCGACTGTTGTCGTAAAGCGACAATTAAAAACAAAAGAACCTAAGCTAACAACAACGAAACAACAAAAAAACGAATAATTTATTTAAAATTTTAAAAGATATTTACAGTTTTTTATATAAAAAAAATGAAGATGATGATGGGTGACGTGAATTACAATTATTTTTTTTAAAAAAAATAACAAAGATAAATGAGTACTGAAACGGAGCCCGAAGACCAAGGTGGCACACCGCGCTTGGCAGTGGTGCTCACCGCTCACGGAGTATGCACAGGCTATGCCTGTGGTAGGTGCGCAGCGCCTGATCTAGGCACACGCAGCGTCTGGAGTAGCCACACGCAGCGCTTGAAGTAGGCACACACAGCGCCCGAACTAGGCACACACAGCGCCCGGAGTAGGCACACGCAGCGTCTGGAGTAGGTACACGCAGCGTCTGGAGCAGGTACACGCAGCGCTTGAAGTAGGCACACACAGCGCCCGGAGTAGGCACACACAGCGCCCGGAGTAGGCACACTAAGCGCCCGGAGTAGGCACACGCAGCGCTTGAAGCAAGCACGCACAGCGGCTAAAGATAGCGCGGGCACTAGTAGGTGGAGGCGTAGGCATGGCTAGGCGACGACTTCAGGTGAAGGCAGAGGCTTGCAGGATCCCGGGGCAGTGCGGCCACGGGATAAGGCCTTTAGGAGATGCTTCTAGTATGAAAGCTGAAGCGAGAATGACTTTATTGGTCGATTGTTCGGCTTTTATACTTTTTTAGAGAGCTACGCGCTCGACGACGGATTTGTGAAAAGAACGGGAAATTATTTAAATTAAAAGCAAATTTTTGTAAATGACCAAGAAGAAAAGAGTATTTTTGTGGAAGTTTTGAAGTAAAAACATCAGACTGGTAACGAATTTGAATAAAAATTGCCATGACAACCAGATAAACAAAGATGTCAAAACATGTCAAATTTTGGTTAATAGAGAAACGGCAAGATTTAAGTGAAAAATGAGATATTATTGATATAGGAAAAAAGGTAGCGCAACAGCGCGCACGAAGCCCGAAATTGTAGAGTTACGGAGAACTAAATAAAAGATCGAAAAAGGTAGACTCCATTGACACCGATTTAAAAAGTGCTGATAGCGTGAAAATACGAAGTGAAAATGATTTGTTATTGTGTTCTTATGGTTTAAAAACGTTACAGGATCTTATGGAAATAAAGGTGATGTAAAATATCCAGTTTTGAGGTGAATGCAGAAAATCAAAAACAGAATGGAAAAATAAATTTAAAATAGTGTAAAATGATATGTAAGTAGCATAACACTACACTGTATGTTTTTATGTGTATGGTGTGCGAAACCTAGACAAAACTAACCTAGAAAAAAGTTCACACTTTTTTCTAGGTGAGACGATTTTCGATGATTTTTTTTATTTGAAATCTGATGCTTCTCATGTGGTCCAATATAAATTTGATCAAGATTAGAGACCAGGAGTTTTTTGGTTTGGTTTTTATATATATCAATAAATATGTTGTTCTATTTAAAATTTCAATTTATTAGTTAATACTTTTTATACGCTTGACAAAGGTTGCGAAATCTTCAGTCTCCCCTATGACGTCATTACTTGTAAAAGTTTGAATGGAAATCTGTTAAGAAATATCTGTTTCTACAAAACAATAATAATTAAAATTGGTGTTTACAATGCCCTATGTGTAAATTACCCTATGTGTAATAACTTAAATAAAAGATACCTTTAAAAAGTTTAAGTACAGAAATATTAATTTTACATTTGTCATGATTATCTTTAATTTATATAAATTTTAAAAATTTCGTGTTTATAATTTGATTTTAATTTAAATAATTTAATAAAAAATATATTTTTCTGGAATTAAAAATATGAATTCTTGGATTTAGTTCTTGGAGATAAATGCAATTGCAATTGTAAATGAATTTGGATGTATCGTTACGTATTATTATACAGCTTGAGAAGAAATAAAAGTAAATTTCATATCTTATTTTGGATTTTTCTTTTAAATACATTGATAAAAAATTAAAAAACACCACACGTAACTTTATTGTATTTCTAATGTTTTTGTTTCGCTATGCTATTTACAGAGAACAGAGAGTCAGAACAAACATAGAGTTGTGACGGATTACAACATTTTGTAACTGGATACAGACGGTTACGGTTTTGGAGTAAGGACATTAAATTATTTTGGATATTCAACTGTTTCGAAATACTTTTAGTTACCTAAGGTTACAGGTGTTGAAGACAAAGAGAGAAGTGTCTTTGTCTAGAGATTTTGGAAGATTAGTTTGGAAGTGGTTTTCGAAACTATCCAGAATATTTAATTCCGATGCGGCAACGAATCTTTTCTTATTTTCGATATCCTATAGATTTGAGATTTGTGTACGTTTATGGAACTTCATTATTTGCAGACTAAACTGTGTGTCTCTATTAATTAGTTCACAACTTCATAATTGAAATAAGCGTTCTCTGAAATTGGAAGGATTTGTTAGAGGATTTTAAATTAAGAAATCTATTGTTCCTACCTCTATGCTTTTGGTTAAAATTAGCTTGTGTAGTTTGTGGTTAATTCATTTTTTAACTGATGTTAGTAAATTTACCTGCTCAAATGGTTTCTACGGTAATAGAAGTAAAAATATACCTTCTCTTTACTCTTCTTAATAATACCTTCTTGTAATTGTTGAACTTCTTTTGCCCAGCCTCTGAAATATTATTATACATTACATGGAATATTATTAGATTATATCTTATTTTTATCACTTAAAGATATACGAGTATAGGCATATTTTTTTTAAATTTGTTTTACAACTGTGCCGTCAAGCTTACTGACGATCAGGACTGTATTTCATTCAACTGAATATGGTAGGTAAGGGATAGTAATTTGTAATTGTTATGATGTCGAATATTGTGTTTTTTTGTTCTGACAATAATAATTTTTCAAAATAAATTTTCTCTCTTGCCCTTCGCCGTGCATCAGGAGCATCGTCGTGCTATTCGATTTCAAATGGCACGATGATGCTACTGATGACAATACTACTATCTCGATTGAGTGCCATTTATTCATGTGCGCTCTAAACTAAACAGCACCACTGAAAATCTCAGTACATGTCATTTGTGGTTGATTGACGCGCACCTTGTGTTTCATTGCGCTTAACCTGAATAGGAATAAGGTAAGGAGTTGCCCCGTCCTGAGGAGAAGTAATGGTCCCCACATACGGCCAATTAAATGATCAGTTGAACTGACGTACATTCAAGAACTGACCGTGAGTGTGGAATCTTAAGTGGAAATTTTCAACTGACGACAAACCACGAATTTTTTCGGTCGTACTGTCAGTTGAAATAGCTCAGTCGAACTGACGGACATCCAAAAACTGATCGTGAGTGTGAAATCTTAAGTTGAAATTTTTAATTGATGGCACTCCACGGAGTTTTCCGGGCGCATCGTAATCCGCTGGCTTCAGTTCGTTTTAATTACAGGTAAGTACCTACTTTCTTAGTAGCTACTTACATTATTTCTATGCTGTTTAGTTTTTTTATTATTTTACATATATAGAGAATTTCGTCTGACGGAGGATAGAGACTAAAGTGACTGTGATGAAGTCATAAGGTGATAAAAGTGAAGATGAAGAATTTCAAGGGTATGTAAAGAAAATAAAATAGTTGGAAAACTATTTAAAAAAAGTAAAATAAAGTTACAGCCTATATACGCCCCACTGCTGCGCACAGGCCTCCCCTCATTTCTGAGAGGGTTTTAGGGCAAGGAAGTGTCCGCCGCGCAGCCCCAATGCGTGTTGGCGAACTTCACATGTCTTCGAAATATTTGTTTTCTTATTCCTCAGACATGAAGATTTCCTCACGATGTTTTCCTTCACCGCCGAGCACGTGGTAAATCAGTGCTTAAATTGCAATTAACAATTTCATTGGTGCCGGCGGGGATCGAACCCGGGTTACTCGCGTTCTGTTATATTTACAGCGAGCGTTAACCATCTGAGCTACCACGACTCTACTATTTTTATTATTATTTAATCAGGCACAACTTACTTCGCAATATGCAAAAATTCTTCCAGTATATCATTGTCCTGAGATAACAGGCCAGGGCATTGAGTCTTCGTTTCAATCCAAGTTTCATTTAATTTGAAAGTTAGGTAATGGGAACATAACACCAGGATTGTCTGTAATAATTAATAGATGTGCAAATTATGTATTTCTCAAGTATAAATGTTAATTAACATGCTAAATTTATACGTGGTAGAGCCATGCTGCAGTTATATTAGAAGTATAGTTGTAGCACGAATGGGTCGACTCGACCGGGGAGGGACCACGCTCTCAGAGAATACCAGCGTGAAAATTTCGTATGGTGAGTGTAGAGAACCGGATACCCCTTTTTACTGGAAACAAGGCATTCCATCTTAGTCTTCACGGGTGACAACGCATCTGCATTTTAATTCGTAATTGAGGATAGATGTACAATTGTACAATCTTATTTTTATTACGTTTTTCTTTACCAGTCAAATATTTAGTGAGCCACATAAAATTGCAACTTTAGGTTCTATAAATACGATTATACAATACTGAATCCATCTGATAAAGAAATTAATTTTAAATAAGGGACATGCAAAAATGTTATTACAATGGCATAACAATTAGACATATATGCATACATACATAAACGGATTACGGACATCCATTTGGCACAATCCTGAAACACCTCTCTCGATATCTTTAATATATCACCAATTTGAAAAAAAAATCTTGATAGATACAATACGTATTTAAAAACAATTCCTACATTTAGCCTAAGCCTAACTTAGTCTATCTTTAGTCTGGATTGAGTACAGGAACTGCGGCTTGGTAACCTACTACAGTAACATTTATAAGGCTTCGAAACACTAATTGGGTAAAGTTGGTTTCGGTAAAGTTGTGCCTAGTTCTAGGTAAATTGGTTACAAAGTATAATCTCGTACAGCCTTATTGCAATATGTGGTTAAATAATATTGTCGAGCTTAAAGACAAGTCTTTGCTACCAATGTAGTTGTTTAGAAACAGCGTAACTGTTATCGGGAAATTTGACACTGCTGTCAAAATCAACTTTACAACACAATTAAAAAATATAAACTACTTTTACCAAAAACGATTGTAATAGTATAGTATAAGCATTACCACTGTTTCTTCGAATACATAGAGCATCACGGGCCTCTGGCTGACCGGAGAGGAGTAGGCATAGGTACGTAGGCGTTTCCCTCTGTCAAAGTGTTCACACGGATCTATGCGTACAATAAAACTAGTTGCGGCCGACTACTTACTAGACTAAATCTGGTTGCTCTACCTACTAGGTAGTTCTAGTTATGAATAACACGTACGTAACAAAACCAGACATACATGAAAAAACATAGCATAGAAAAATAGACTACATACTAGGAAGCAATTATATTGATTTTTATTATAATAAAGTACATTGCCTCTGTATGAGATCAAAAAATCGTTCACCGGATACCTCATCTTGCGGTGGTAACTTAATATTCTTGTATAGGTTATAGGCCTCATCGGCTATCGACACTTTAAAGGCCAAGTCCTTTGAAAGCATATGAAGAATAGCGTAAACCTGAAATTGTAATGTTTCCATATATGTATTTAGTAGTAAAGTTTAAGTATAACGAGATTAACCTGATTTATTGCAAAGGTCGTCAAAAATCCTATATCTTTCTGTGTTTCTGTTTTAATGCACAAATTCTAATTCAATTCAAAAAATTCAACCCTTCAAAAATCAGTTGTATAGCCTAAGAATATATTGATGCCGCTGTTGCAATAAAATTAGGTCTTATGAAACAATTTGTGAAAGCTCTGGATCAAAATTTTGAAGCTTTCGAATATTTAAAGTGATTCTTTCCCAAATTATCTGAAGTAAAGGAGAGTGGGGTGAATGCGAACACCGGATAATTCCGGACGCAGTTGTTTCTAGCAGGTTAGCCCTCTATGCGTCTCGAACGATTTGTAAAAGCTCTGGATGAAAATTTTGAAGCTTTCGCATATTTAAAGTGAGTCTTTCCCAAATTATCTGAAGTAAAGGAGAGTGGGGTGGTTGCGAACACCGGATAATTCCGGACGCAGTTGTTTCTAGCAGATTGGCCCTCTATGCGTCTCCAACAATTTGTGAAAGCTCTGGATCAAAATTTGAAGCTTTCGAATACTTAAAGTGATTCTTTCCCAAGTTATCTGAAGTAAAGGAGAGTGGGGTGATTGCGAACACCGGATAATGTCGGACGCAGTTGTTTCTAGCAGGTTGGCCCTCTATGCGCCTCGATTAATTTGTGAAAGCTCTGGATCAAAATTCTAAAGCTTTCGAATATTTAAAGTGATTGTTTCCCAAATTATCTGAAGTAGAGGGGAGTGGGGTGATTACGAACACGCGATAATTCTGGACGTAGTTGTTTCTAGCAGGGTAGCCCTCTATGTCTCTTGCAATTCCTATATTTTTTTGCATCCGTCGTCTTTAGTGCACGGACAGTAGTTAATACGAAAGACCGAGCGCGCACTTCAAGGTTAGTACCGACCAACTTTTTTATGGCTTTTCTTATAATTTCTAGCTATTTGCATTTACGTGTACATGCAGTGATATACGCATTACGAAAATATTGCTTCTGCCACAAAATCATAAGAGATACACCATATAAACTGTAGCAAAAAATAAATCACATGAGCTACCGTAAACTGAAAAATATTTCAGGTGTATGAAACTATGATTGGGTTAATAGTTAACAAAAAAATAACGTAATAATATTATATAGTGCTTGGTGTGCCGTTTCTTTATGTATTGTCTCTTTGTTTGTTTATTATGTAAAATAAACAGTATTATAAATAAATAAATATGTATATACAGGATTATTTTGCAATAACCGATCAAATTTGCAGAGAAGGTTCAGAACATGTAACGTAAGTGGAGAAAAATTAATGTAAAAAAATCTACAGCATTTTGTCCTTTTTATCTTTTAAATTTAAAATGCTTAGTATTATTTTAACTGATTTTACTGCACACACACACATTCGTGAAGGTCTATTGGTAGGCAGAAACGTCGTTGCCCATAAGTCACATTAAATTTAGAATAATTTCAAATAAAAGTGGAAGCCTTCTTTTCTCGTATTTAAAAAAAATGTTATTATTTATATACTAGAACTTAAGTTTAAAATTTGGCTACTCTTTGAAAAATAACCATGCATAATATATAATTTTTTATTTCAGATGCTCTGTATTTAGAAAAGAAAAAACGGAAAAGAAATACACGCTTAAAAGAAGTGGATGAATGCACAAGTGGTGAATTCGGTACCTAAACAACTATCATATATATTATGTCCCACTATTTAAAGAAGGAAAGTAACAACCAACACCATGGTGCCAACAGCAGAATGTAGTGGAAGCAGATAAATGAGAACAAAGCCAAATACAAAGACAATACACCAATATAAAGTCCAAGAAAGGAGTTAAATATCTTCAGAATTTGATACGATGCAAGAGAAAGAAGACACAAAAGTTTTAAAACTCTTCCTATCGCTTGTATGTATCGTTTCCCGCAGAAGACTGGAACCCTATTTGGTGTCCACGTCTAGTGGCTCTACCAAGCTGTCGTCTGTCACTAAAGTAAACATAGAATACTATAATTACATACATAATAGAGCGGGGGAGTGGACGGAGCCCGTGTATCCACAAAATGTCACTAACACGTCAATTCACACGTATAAATGTCAACACGAGATGTGTTTTGACGTTACAATCGTTTCCATATTTCGCATGCAAATTATTTAGAAAATGCCAAATTGCACGCTATTTACAAATAAATATGTATTAAAATCTGTCTGTCAACACAGCGAATCGGGTTTGTAGTGTGATAATATGACGTAATTTCTTGTATGTGTGCTCCTGGCGACGCCTATCCTCGTACAAAATAAGGTTGACAGCCATTCTATTGTGTATTATAGTATTCTAAGAAAGTAAAAAATTTTTTTCATTTATATAGATTATCAACAGTTGGCTGTTGAACATAGGCTTCCTATAAAGATTGGCCCAAACGGATCCTCAATATGCCATAGTTGACAAGGGACCAGGTAACCGCAGTTTTAAATTTTTTATTTTAATCAGGAAGTTGTTGCTCCATATCTTCTGTTTTCTTTCCCTCCGTGGGCTCTTACAATAACCACGACATAATACTGGTTGTGGATTCTCTTACATCGTCAAATCACTGCAAAACCTTATTATACTATTTTAAATATATTATAACAGATTGTAAGACCTTGGACATTCGCGATCCTGCTAAATCTGAGGCCGCTAAAGATTCCGGCACCCGCGTACTAGGCTCTTGGCTAACGTCATAGCTTTTCAGTTCTTCTCGTATCTCAGGAGACATCAATGGATAGTTTAAATCTGTATAAATCATTATATTATAAATAATTACAAAAGGCAATTCATATCAAATGTTTCTTTATCATTAAAACTTTCATTACAATCAATCAGACGTGCACGGCTGAACACAGGCTTCCCTCAATGAATGCTACAAAATACCTTGAATAAAACTGAATTTATTGAAAAAATACTTCTAACACATTCTTATATAGGAAGTAAATATTAAAAGTAATCTCGCCTTTTAAGCAAATGTCAATAAAATATAAAATATTGGATAATAATTAATAAAGTAATGTATTAAGGAAATATGATTATGTATATTTAAAAGGTAAGGTAAGGTATATGTAGTGATACTGAAAATTAATTAAACATGATTTATGTTATTATATATTCAAATACGTAAGTACCTTGTAATACTCCATCGCTGCTTAAATTAACTTTTTTTATGTAACACTCATCGCGAAATATGGCTGCGAGTAATGTAGCAATGGTGGCACCACGTCTTACCAAAATGGGGTGCTATAATCAAATAATTTATGATGGAATGATTTAATTAATTTATTAATTATTGTTTAAATGTGAATTCCGATTTTAATTTATGATTTAATCTAATGCTTTTTAATATGACGTACATTGAAAAGAAAAATATAGCTCATTTATTAACATGAGCTGGTAGAAAACGTGGTTGACAAACCGGTGGCTGATCACTAGTTTGTCACCACAGCCGTATACAAACGCGGTTATTAACATTGTAATTACATATTTGACTTTATGGAATGCAACAGAATTGAATCTGTTTACGCACATATAATAATGCAAACAATATTACAAAAAAAAGATTCATTCGTTATGGTTCATATTGGGTTGCATTTTCTAGAAATGTTCGTTAGATGGTGTTTTCTTAATGATGATTAGCAGTAGGGCATTTAAATTCTCCGCTAGGAGTAAAAGTATTCTGTGATTTAAGTTAAATGGCGTTTGATATTATGTAAGTTAAACTTGGAAGCGGGCAATTCTTTTCCAATTACATATTATATGCAATTGGATTCTTGGGTGCGCCGAAGATGAACGAAGATCGAGCCTTGTTTAATTATTTTCATAACTATGTGTGAAGCCACATCTATATAATTAATCAGTCTGGTTTTGGTTAAATCAATTTCATAAAATAAACTTTATATAAGAACTAGCTTGCCAGGCAGACGTTGTCCTGCCCTTTTCGCCGACAATTTGTCATGTCCTATTAAAAATCTTTAAATTCGCACAAAAAAATTGTGGGCAAAAATTATCCTATCTCTCAAGTTGGAGCAAACTGCACACGGTGTGTAAATTTTATTAAAATCGGTTAAGTAGTTTAGGAGTCCATCGCAGAGAAACAACGTGATACGTAATTTATATATATTAAGATAATTAAATACAAAAAAAGTTATATTTTTCCGTAGCATTATATATTTGGTACAGTATATTGTTTAATGTATTACTCCTTGTACCAAATAAATAATAATGCTACTGGTAGCAGCACTAGCCGGATTTTAATTATATTATTAGAAACTCACAATGTCTGAAGCAGCAGGACTGGCTCGCCAAGTAATCATCTGTGCTACAGCTTCGCCAGCTCTTGCCACATCGCACAAAAGTGCAAGAGCAAGACATTGAATTGGAGGTCGTGTGAGCTGTGCGGAATAAATAATTTTATAGCGTTATTATCGCAATCGATGAGGAGAAAACTTTTGTTATAGTTCAGGAATAACTCATTTGTAAATTTTTTAACTATTCTAACTCATTGCTTGATCTATCCCACCTAATAAGTGGTGGGGTAACAACATGAAAATATTACAAATTTTTTCTCTTCTATTTTTTAAACAAAAATAGCTGTCCCGAATACTCTTTCCGCATATTTTTTAACTCATTCTTAAAAAAAGTAAATATTTAAATAGTAGTCTATATTGTTTTAGGGATACAGTCAATATCGGTTCAACCGTTTAACTTTGAAATGGTTATTACAACAGACCCATTTTAGATCTACAATTTATTTACAAAAACATCCAAAAAAATCGAACTCTATTATTCAAATCAAATTCGAAATTGAGTTTATTTGATAAGGAAATGGTATTCGTCTATGATACCGATTACAACGAATAGGGGACCGCTTATCATACCTGATTGTGGAATACCCATTCGACCCAGTTCATTCGTAATCAGGAGAATACCAGCGTAAAATAGTAGCTCTATGCCGCTGTGTTTCGTATGATGAGTGAAGAAAATCGGAGACTTTTTTACGGGAAACGAGGCATTCCATCTGAGTTCTCAGGGGTGGGCAACAAATCTGCCTTTTGATATTCCTAATCAAGAATAAATGTAGATGTCTATGGGCCACATCATCTACTTAACATCAGGTGGACGGTGTGCACGTTTGTGACCCTTATTGTGTAAAATAACATATTCGTCTTTTTCTTCAATAAATCATTTTCTATTACATTTGTACGCTTGTGGAAATCCTTGCAATTACAAATTCATTGTATTCAATTTTAACTGTTTTCCATAAAACTCTACTCAAAACTTATTGCTATATACTTTATATGCTCTCTTGTATACTACTTTTCTAAACTGTCATCTTCTTGTGTTTTATTTTTATTTATTTATTTATACTTTCATGCACAAAATAGTACATATGGCGGACTTAAGGGGAAATATAACCTCAAATGGCTTAGCAAGATCCTCCGTTATGCCGAAAGTATTGCAGCATTAATTTTGAAATAAATATATGGTAAAGTTGAGGATTAATGTTAAGGTTTATGTTAGACGAAAACACGATTCCGTAAAATTTTCTCGATAGAAAAAAAAATCCAAAGTTACCTCCAAACTGAACAATAAACCGCTGTTATTCATAAAATACTTTAAATAAGATCATGAAAATTTGCATACTAACTGAACTAACCATAAAGCAGTGCTTATGTTATTTACTTTTTTTAAAATATCATTATATTTTCACTGTAAAAAGAAATTACTGGGTAACGGACTGGGTTGGCGTTAAGAAACAGGCGTATATATGATAAACATAATGAAATAAGTATCTAACGACCTAGATAGGTCGTTAGATACTTATTTCATTTTCATTGTCCTTAATATTAGTGATTACAAACATGTCGGTACATAGCATACGACGCGCGGGGAAGTGGGGGCGAAATTAGAATTTGAGCTGACTTACTCTCACCTCTTAATGCCATAGAGCATTCTCCATATCCAAGCCAAGCCATAATATTGATTTCCGAAAATTTGAGTTTTATTTGCAGTAATAAATGTATTTTTACGGGAAACGAGGCATTCCATCTGAGTTCTCTGGGGTGGCAACAAATCTGCCTTTTGATATTCCTAATCAAGAATAAATGTAGATGTCTATGGGCCACATCATCTACTTAACATCAGGTGGACGATACGCAGTATGCACGTTTGTCACCCTTTTAGAGCATTAGCGAGAAACTCGGGTTAGTGAGAAACCTGTATAAGCGAGAATGAGATTGTGCTCCCTTGAACTCTCGCTTATCCAGGTCTGACTGTATATATATATACAATAGGTACGTATAAATATTATCAATGTCAGAACAAATATGAAATATATACGAAAAAAGAGCTGCCTTAGTTCAAACTTGCAACGATTTAATCACATACTTGCGGACTTGTTTTTTTAAAAACGAATTTGTTGGGAGCTTTTTTAATGTCAAGAGGGATGTCGTTACAGAGTCTGTGCTTTATTTTAATTTAATTTTTTTAGCTCTATTGTATAAATTATGTATACCTCACTGCTAGCCATTCAAAGATTTTTTTCTCCAAAGTCGTTCAGTAAGTTACAAGTCATTTACCCCGTAAAAAAAGCTGTAACATCCGTTTTCCCCCTCTTAAGATTGAATTTTCTGAAATTCTTTCTTAGTGAATACCTTACGTTATAGTATTCAGTAACCGTCCAGATTTCCGATTTCTACGTCTAACTTTTTGGGCTACGCGTTGATAGATAAATCAGTCACTCAGGACATCTTATTTTATATAATATATAGATAGTATTTTATATAATATATAGAATAATAACATGTCAAAAATTCCATGTAAAATTAGTAATTTAGTTAAAATTATAAATTTTAACTAAATTACTAAAAGTATGGCGTACGTCAGTTGAATAGTTTTAATCCAGCCAGTATAAAATTAATATTATACATACGTTTAAGGAAACATCTTAGACCATTCAACCATTAAACATTGGGTTTGTTGGTCTAAGGGAAACATATACCAATAATTGTTGTCAAGAACGAATAAAAAACATTAAGATAAGGATAACTAAAACACTGATATGGTTCTGTTTTATTTACTTTTAATATGTGTTTAGCAACTACTACGTGTTCTTAAAACAAATAAAAAATCAAACTGGTTCATTACAAAATAAATTAAATGAAGATGATCAAAACTAACCGTCGATTTATAAAAAAGTTCTTTCACGATGTGTCGCTTATCAGACTGTAGTATTAGAAAAATACTTACGGTTATTAAATCTAAAAGTTTATAGACTCCGTTATCCATAACAAACATCCCCCTATATTTATCATTCCAAATTATCGCCTCCCAAATAAAGTTAAGCAATGATATTAGGAACCTGAAATTAAAAAAAAACCGTGTTTAATAAAATCATTATTATAATTTTATATATTATTAAAATTTTTAATTTACAGATGAGCCCGTCTAAGACATTTAAATACGTGGTAGAGCTATGCTGCAGTAATATTAGTAGAATAGTTGTAGCACGAGTACGTCGGCTCGACCGAGGAGGGACCACGCTCTCACAGAATACCAGCGTAAAATGGTAGCTTTATGCTGCTGTATTTCGTATGGTGAGTGTAGAGAACTGGCGATCCTTTTTACTGGAAACGAGACATTCCATTTGCGTCCTCATTTGTGACAACGCATCTGCATTTTTATTAGATGCGTTATTAGATGCGATAGAGGATAGATGTAGATGTCTATGGACCACAGCAACCACTTACCATCAGGTGGACTGTGTGCTCGTTTGTCACCCTATCCTATACAAAAATACATATGACTTTAAACATAACGACTAAATTTTTTAAAAAAATATCAAAAAATAATGTATACACATAAATAAAATTGAACTGTCTTTACAGACTTTACTTTTTGTAATATTGAAATCACTGGTTTCTTTTAAGCTCAAGGATTTTTTTTAATTTCGTTTTCGAAGTTAAGTCTGTATGCCATATTCGTTCAGAGAAACAGACGTATAATGCAGGAAACAGTCATTAGCAGTCTTTTGTTTGTCAGGAAGTGAACATGCAAACCAATAAGTATTTTGTTCTAATTAAGTCAAGGTGAACACTATACTTCATGATCGGATATTGGGTTCGAGTCCCGCTAACATTTGTGTTGTAATAATCAATGTTTGCAGTTGTGTTTTTTTATTTATTAAAGTAAAGTACTCTAACGGTTAATAATACCTCCCTCTGCAGCGTCCGAAGCGCGTGTTTTGTTTGCGCACTATCTCCTAAGTCCTGAGGTGCTACTATATTATAATGTATATAATGTTTTATATTATATTTGTATACATTACTAATAAGTGTAATATATAGATATACATAATAGTGTAATTCGGTAGTGCGCTCAATAGCCTTAACTTTTTTTTAATAGTATTTCCAAGATTTAGGGGATCCTTCGCCATGTATTGGCGACGTATGAGAATTCACTACCCCCTATATGTCCGTGGGTGTAGTAAGAAGTGATAGAGGGTTACTGAAAAAGGAGGTGACCATCAGCATCTACATGACAACAGTTTGAAAAAATAAATAACTAACTGTGATAACTGATAAACAACCCACCCGCCATGCGTGGCATTTTTGTGCAAATGTCTAAAGTAAAGTAAAGTTACAGCCTATATACGTCCCACTGCTGGGCTCAGGCCTCCCCTCATTTCTGAGAGGGTTTAGGGCAAGGAAGTGCCCGCCGCGCTGCCCAAATGCGTGTTGACGAACTTCACATGTCTTCGAAATATTTTTTTTCTTATTCCTCAGACATGCAGGTTTCCTCACGATGTTTTCCTTCACCGCCGAGCACGTGGTAAATCAGCACTTAAAATTGCAATTAACAATATCATTGGTGCCGGCGGGGATCGAACCTGGGTTACTCGCGTTCTGTTATACTCGTATTTACAGCGAGCGTTAACCACTGAGCTACCACGGCTCGTGCAAATGTCTACGATGATAATAATGATGATGCATTAAAAGAGATACTCATTGGTGAATTGGTTATGTATGAATTGTTATTGACATGTGGTATTGTTTGATATACGGTTATATCTTAACTAGTTGTATGTATACGCGCTATGAATATACCTATATGTAATGGACCAAGTGATAATTAATCACTTGGTCCATTAAATATATACTGGGCAATATTAATAATGCCCAATATGAGTAGGCAATGTGGTAAAAACTATTGAAATAAACAAATTGACCAAGCTTTACAAATAAATGCCGTAATTTATTGGGCAGAATAATAAAAAAATGGAAATATCTATTCATACGATAAGCGAACGATATATTTTTTTATTTATACGATTATCGTATGATTTATTTATTTTTATTCATCCGGTATATTTTAAATTTAAAAAATATATAAGATAATAAAATATTTAAACAAGATAAAGAATTTTTTATAGGATAGAGTGACAAACGAGCACACAGTCCACCTGATTGTAAGTGGATGCTGTGGCCCATAGACATCCACATTTTTCCTCAATTAAAAGTTGAAATGCAAATGCGTTGTCACCCCTGAGGACTAAGATGTAATGCCTCGATTCCTCAGTTCTCCACACTCACCATACGAAACACAGCAGCATTACGCGGCTTTTTTATCGGCTTTTTTATCGCCAATCGTACTACAACTACAATACATATGGCTGCAGCGTGGCTTTATTAAGTAAACAGAATATTTAATATAGTCTATTTATATACTCTGATACTTACTCGTATGATTAGGCTATTTGCGTCTAATAATGCATTACACAAATCTTACAAAGTCGGTGACAGTAGATTAAGGTGTACATTATAATGATTTAATCGCTAACCATATATCAATTATAATAAAAGATAATATTGAAAAAATTTAACATTTTAACTTGAATATTTGTGGAAAAAAAATAATATGCAATTCCGAAATGATGGAAAAATGTCCCTTCAAATATACAAATAAAATATAAGAACTGTATGGTGTTGTTTACTATCAGACGAGCCCCTGGGTGACATCTCACTCTACCAAGCTGGAGTCGCGGGGAGAGGAAATGTTGGTACTTGGTATAGAAGAGACCATCTCGAGTATTATTCAAATAATATTGAACCGATTTAATATATACAAAAATAAAAAAAGTAACAATTTTTACATTATTAACTTACTGTCTTAAAAGTGATTGATTGACATGGCTAGGGTTGGTTAGGTTTATATAAAATTGCCCAACAGTTTCGTAGCTATTGATATGCTATTGCTTCGTAATGACCAGACAATATGATAAATAACGAAGTTTTAATCAGTATTCATTACGTAGCCCGATTTGACTTGCATTATCCATATTGCCCGGGCACTATAAATAATACGAGTAAGTACATCAATTTATTACTTTGACCATACTCCATAACATATTATACATTATACGTAATACTTTACCTGTCGCTGAGTATTAAATGTTTCTTTAGAGAATTTAAAGCGACATCCAGCATCCTTGTTGCGAGGGTATTGACAGATGAAGGCCATTCGATTTCAGGATACACACAACAACTTATACGTGCATTAACTTCTAAAGCGTCTGTTAAGAGACTTAAACACAGCGAAATTATAATCTGGCTCTTCTGCACTGGTGGTGATTTTTGGTCTAGTAGTGTATGACATAGACCTAAAATACGAGAGTTATTGCTATATAAATCTAAACCCGATTATAGATTAAAGTCTATTATCCGGTGGCAAACGAGCACGCAGTCTATATTATAAATGGAAGCGGATGTTGTGAACTATAAACACTATAAGTACATATTATATTCTCACATTGTCTACTTTGAGAACTAAGATGGAATTCTGGTTACAACTGGTCAAATTACAGGTGATCCCCTAGCATAATCAGGACCTTTGGGTTTGCGGATAGTTCGAAGAGGACGAAAATGTTACGACGAGTTCTTGAAACATCATAACTGTACCGCGGCCTTTGAAGGGTTCGGAATCAACACCAAAATTGTCTGCCTAGAGATGTAGAGGCAGCGGTTGCGTTTTGGATGGATATCCCGAGATCTCTCGTCGGTGCTGAGTAACATCATAGTTGGTTCTTAGTTGGTAAATGTCCGACATAACCCGCCAGTTTCTAGCTACTAGTCTCAGATGAATGATGAGAAGATGATGAATTATAAATAAGAATTTAATACTGACACATAGGTACATGAAATACATTCTGCGTAACAAATACTTACGAATAATAATAAAAATTCCATGAGAATCGAAAAGATCATTGAGTATAGTTTGACGAGTAGAGCTTTTTCTTCCACAGATGGCAACTTGCAGTACTCTTAGGCACCAATATAGCACTGACAATTGATACGGACTCTCTGAATACCATTCTATGTACCACATCAACCTAAAATGTGCGAATACCTATTATTGAAACTTATAACGACCACGGGACCTTGTTCCCTAGATCGAAACGACGACAAATCATAGAGGCAAGGATTATAGTGTACCAGTGCAACCACTGATGCTCTCTTTATTCCCTCTCAAAGTGGAATTTGAAATTGAATATGATTTGAACCCAGGAACTCATGATCAGTGGTCGAGGTTACGACCACTAGTCCAACGAGGCAGACATATATATATATACGTCTATCAGTATACTGCGTATCAGTATACTGATACGCAGTAGCGTATCAGTATACTGATACGCAGTATACTGGGGGTTTAAGAATATCCACTACCCCCTATCGTCCTGTAGGTGTCGTAAGAGGTGACATAAAGAAATAGACCCTGCGATGGACAGCAGCGTATTTCTAATACCAACTAGAAAGTCAGTTGTGTCCTCATGCCAGTGGGGAGGCCTTCGATGAGCAATGGACTTTGACATACTATCTCCAATCTATTTAAATAAGCGTTACATCGGCACGGTTTAGTTAGTATGAGTAAGTAAACAAGCACACATCGTCCAAACAACACCATTCCTAGGTGGTTTAAGCGTACATTTTCAGCACTTAAGGGCGAAAGCACAAATGTTACTTTTAGTATCGTTTTCTTTTCGGAAACTCGATGCCGCGTCCAAACTCTACACTCCGCACACATTCGGAAGCGAGTCATACGATTTAGTGGAACTTTGGCATCTGCAGAACACGGTTCTGTGTTATTGTGTACGCTACAGATTCCTAAATTTAGGTTAGTTACAACTAGAAAATCTTTCTTAAATCTTTCTTTTTCATAAAATTTAACTAAAAAATTCCTAAAATGTACTTAGTACAACGATTTGACAAAAAGTTAAAAAACTTGTTATGGAAATAACGCAAATATTTCTAACTACTTTGTTGACCGGCAGAGAATGCCACATGGCATAAAGTCCGCCATATGTATACCCTTTAGCTTAAGGTGTTACATGTAAGTTTTAAATAAAAATAAATCAAAAACCTATCTAAATAAGCTATGATTATATAACTAATACTGTGAATGTGTAGGTGACCGATATTATATATTTCTGATATTATTTTTTTGTAAAATATTGCCGACCTTTGAAATTGTACAATTTTAATAAAAGTTGTAGTCATTGTAAATGGAAATTATAACACGTTTTTAAAAAATAAACCCTAGAGTTTGCTGTCGGTTTTTCTTTGAGGATGTTTTGATTTAGCGAACCGGTGAAATTTGACGTTTATAAGAGCTTTAGACAAGCCTAAAATAAATAGAAGTTATGACTTTGACTAAATTATAAAGCTACACCATTACTATAGATTGCGATACAGCTACGCTACTTCTCGCTTAATTGATAATGAGAAAGTGTCAATATCGTGAAGGTGGTATTAGATACACTGGATTACCAGATCGCGTCTTAACTTTGGAGAGCATATTTTAGTGTTTCTGCTACCAAAACCTGTTAGCATAAGAGACGACAACGGATTGACTGAACTATCCTTAGGTTGGATTTAGTATTAGTAACTTATGGATCACATAAGTGAATGGGATGGAACCGGTCTGCCTGCACGACGTTGCTGCGTTTGATAGGTACAGCCGTTGAAACACGTGTCATGGTTATAGTAAACTAAACGCTAGCTATGGCTCGTTTAAGGATAATATGATACATTGCACAAGAGCGTACGCACTGTATAAAAACTAGCCGTTCAAAGGCGTGTTAATTTGCTCATTTAAAATTTTAAACATCATCGGGACCACTGTAAAATGTAATAATTATTTTATTACAAGGTATAAAATTAAAACGTGTTTTTTATAATTCTGTCCTATAAAAATTTAATGCACCACTTTTTTATATTCATATTCCTACATTGTCATCCAATTCTAAGCTATGTTCAAGTCTCTACAATGATACTACAGTTCAGATTTTTCAAAATAGGTCTGGTCTATGTACACTAACCTCAAAAAATAGAGAAAAATCTGTAAAATTCGAGAAAAATACAGATAATTCATTTAAATGTATCCTGTCGTGGTAAACAATTGATGTTTATCAATTATTTTTATCGACTTTCAACATGGGGTCACACCGATTTAGTTACTCTGTACTTATAGACAATGACGGTAAACCATAAAGCGACCATTGGTCATAGAAAGAAAACCGTCATTTGTCACAACAGTGTCGAAATCTTTGGTCGAAATACGTGAAATAAACATGTCAAACGTCACTAATCCATAAAAATGACAGCTTACCGCCATGACGGGTTTTTGTAGTGTGTTGCAATTTTAAGTGTAATTTCCTGTGCTTTACCAGCAAACAAAGCCATTATAAAATAATAGAATAGTTGAGAACCGCTTGATGTGATGTGATGTCTCAGTGATCGCGAGGGTGAAAACTAGCAGCGACCACCGAATGGTTAGAGGTACGACAAGAGACTGAACCTAAACGTTAAGTTTGAGAGGTTTCGTCTACTGATGTCATCGCCCCGTCCCCCCTCGTGCTCTAATCCAAGGTTCCGAAAACTTACAGCTCGGGTTACAAACCCGTTATCAGCGCTAAGAGGTCTGCAATGCAGTCGACGATATGAATGACAAGCTCGTGGAAACTATCCATACAGTCGGAGCAAAGCTCTGTAAGACGCGTCACAAAAGAACACAAAATTTTAAAAAGTTTTCAGCAGATTTGACAGCATACAGACAACTGAACAATCAGACCACCAAATGCATGTAGCGTATTGAAGAAGCGATCGAGCGGAACCAGGGCTCCAAACTCTTTGCCAGAGATTTTTCTGTCAGAAAGAGCCAACTGTCGAAGCTGAAGACAGAGTGTGGCAGCATCGTTTACGGGGCACCTGGGATTTTTATTGAGATTAAGAGGTTCTATGAGCAGCTGTACACGTCATTATTGACGCCACACGCAAGTGTGAGTAACGACCCAAGAGTAAGTCTTATCCGACGCTATTCCGATAATATCCCGAACGTCAATCTGTGCGAGATTAGAATGGCTCTCCAGCATCTTGAAAACGGCAAAGCCCCGGGCGAGGATGTTTTTTGCAGCGAAGCGTCTCAAAGCGGGTGGAAAACCGGTACACAAAGACCTTCAGTTTTGTTCTTCAAGAAAGGCGATATCGCTCTCTTGAAGAACTACAGACCGATTTCCCTTCTGATCCGCGTCTACGTGCTGTTTTCGAATGTCATTACGAATCGTCTCGAACGCAGACTAGATCGACTCAACTTTTTAAAAGCGCGAACCAATATCTAAATTATAAACAGCAGCAAAAGTTTTTGTATTGTTAAATTAATGAAACTTAGTTAAAATATGATACTAGCGTGAAATAGCATCTTAAGACTTCTGTGTTTTGTTTTTTCTCTTCCAGCCTCCCGAACAAGCCTGTTTCCGAAAAGGCTTTAGTACCATGTACCATATACATAGCCTTCGGAATATTGTACGGAAGATCGAAGAGTGCAACCTGAACTTTGTCTTGCGTATGTGGACTATGATTGCGTCGAAATTTGGGCAATGCTGCAGTCTTTAAGCGGTGACAAGTTGACTGTGGGTATATCGAAGTGTTGAAGTGTTTGTACAGTAGGGCTACGATGGCTATCCGAGTATAGAGCCAGAGTACGAAATCTATCCAATTAGATAGAGAGCCTCGCTGAACTTACCGAACGAATCGTCACGATAGTTATTTTTTATATAATAAGGGTGACAAACGAGCACACAGTCCACGATGGTAAATGGATGCTGTGGTCCATAGATATTTACAATTATCCAGTAAAAGAGGGTCTCCGGATCTCTACACTCACCATACGAAACACAGCAGTATTAAGCTGCTATTTTACGCTGGTATTCTGTGAGAGCGTTGTCTTTCCTCGGTCGAGCCACTCGTGCTACAACCATAATATAGTTGCAACGTGACTCTACCACGTATGAAAGTTAAGGGTTTCTGAGAAAACCTCAAAATTACTATTTTTAATTTTCAAAAAGTAGTATTCTTGGAATTACTTCGACACCCTTATTTTGAAATTCTATAATCTAATGAACTCTTACTTAAAAGAAACTACGTCACCTACCGTGAACCGCATCCAACTCGGTCGATATGTTCGAGAGATATCTCGAAGAAATCTCGAAAAAGTGGTTTTTCAAAATACCTACTTTTTGTGATAGGCTTTTTTGTTAAGCAGAAAAAAATGCGTCGATTACCGTACATCACATTAAAATCGGTGAATTTGTTCGTAAAGTTTTCA